AGAGAGAGAGAGAGAGAGAGAGAGAGAGAGAGAGAGAGAGAGAGAGATACAGAGGCCATGAGACAGTGTGGCATGACTGTTGATGATGACAGAGGACGTGCAGAGTTCAGCCCAATTCCAAACCCACTGCACCCACACGCACTAAGGTGCATGAGAGAAGAAGCTAAGAACACTGGGTTCAGTTTGGAAGCTGGGCTGGCATCCGATTTGGTCATGCCAAAAAAAGGTTGTCCGAATCAATTGGAAAGAAAACCCCTGCCATAATAAAGAGACAACATGGAGAAATGACAAATGAGGAAAAAAGAAGTTCAGAGAGAGTGAAAGGTAGAGAAAAGAAGGAGGAAGAGAGAGACAAGACAGGGAAGACAGGGTACATACACTGAGGTTACTGCCACGTTGTCTCCCTTTCCTCCGCTGCTGTATGAGCACAGAGAAGACACACACATACACACAAAGAGCCACAAATACACCAAAGGTGTGGTCACACATGGAGCATACACACAAAACCAAGAAGGGAGGAAGAGAAGTAAGGGAGACGGGGGTGGATTGATCCACAATGGAAGAGAAATGGGGTAAAGTGGAGTCCAATTAAATACCAAAGTGTTAGGTGGAGGTTCAACCCAAAAAGAGATGGAGTGCCACAGTGGAGAGAGGAAAGTGAAAGACAGAGAGAGAAGGAGGGACAGAGAAAGAGAGTCTGATTAGACACCAAGCAGCAGTGAAGGTGGAAGAGAAACACTTACCACAGAGACTGGGGGTGTTTGGAGCCAAAACTGGGTTATATAGACAAGGTCACCATGAAAATGCTCAAACAACAGCACTACGGTCACAACAGCAATGACGACAATCAGCAAAGTATACGTAAAAATGGATATCCACACACACAAACACACACACAATTACACTTAACTCAAACGACAGACAACAGAGTGAGTTTCAGGGTACAGAAAGAACTGCGGAACACACCCATATACACAACACACATATATGTAACACACACACACACACACACACACACTTATGTAACACACAATATCATGCTGGTTCCAGTCCTTGTTGAAAACAAAAAAAACAACAAAACTCCCCAAAATTCAAAGAGCTCAGCACAAGCAAAACCTTTGACAGGAAGGAAAAGACAGTTTAGTACCAAAAACATCAAGAAAAGATAAGTAATCAGGGTCTTGACAAAAGAAGAGGAAACAATGTTGGGCAGAGAAGTGTGTATGTATGTATTGTGTGTGTATGTATGTATAGTGTGTGTGTATGTGTGTGTGTGCGCATTTGTATTTATAAATATGTTGTGTGCATATGACAACCAGAGCACTCACCGAAGTATGAAACAAGATAAAATGGATGAGTGTGTTAGATGGAAACGGGACACCCACGGATATAAAGTCTCCATGCAGGAGGCAGGATGAGAGGAGATGACGAGAACAGCAGAAGAAGAAGAGATAAGAGCAGAAGGTCTCACTTTGCCTTGCTGTGGTCCTTTTGAATTCAAGACTGGAGGTCAACATTTCAGCAAAACATTTCCATGTTTTAGCCAGAAATATTGTAACAACAGCATATCTTGTTTAAAGTTAGTCACGTGATTGGTGGTTCTTTGGCTTAAAAAAAAGATAACCTTTGCTCAGAACCACACCAGGAGTAATAGGAATTTGTCGATAACCCTTTTTGACCTGGTGCCAAACTTTCTCCAACATGGATTGGAGTAACCACAGCAATACATCTTTGAGCAACAAGTCAGACCTTTGAGAATATGATCTTTTGAAACAAAAGGAGATGAGGAACAGAGACAATGGGCGGGGGGAAATAGAAAGAGAGTGGAAAGGTGAGAATGCTGCTCACTTGGTTGTCGCCTGGGAGGCGGGGCATGGAAGCGGCCCTGCCATGGCCTTCCATTGGTGGAAAGTGCTCAGTATCCGAGTAACCATCCTGCCCCAACTCTCTCATCTCTACCGTCTGAAAACAGAGCAGGAGAGCAGGAGATGGTGTGACGGCTGCCATGAACACTGACAGGGAGTAGGGGGGTAGGTGGGGAAAGTTTGTTATCCAAAGAAAGCAGAGAATTGAGGGTCTCAGAGAGGTAAAAGTAGTCAGTGGGAGAATTTGGTGAGTGTGAGGAGGGACTTTTGTTTTTGTTTTAAATTGTGCAATGAATGAAAAAAGGAATCGTTTGTTTGGGTCTTAAGTTCATGAGTATACTCCAAATAAAATCGAATTTCCTCGTTTGCGAAGGCTGCTGTCAAAAATGGAGCGTAAAGCAAATGCAAAGATTCTTTGTTTAATGGCATCGATGCCAGACGGAGGAGCTTGTGAGTCAGACCAGGAATGGATTTGAAGGGAAACCCATTTGCAGCCTAAAGGACATGTGAAAAACAAAAGTGATCACATGACAGTGTTGGCCAGGTGCAAGTGCTGATGCAATGTAGGCGGTACACGGGTTGCGTAAAAACAACTTTGTTTGGTTGGTTTACACAAACTGCAGGTATCAAGTCTAAATGCGGCCTTTTTTTTTTTCTCCAGGTGATACCAAGCAAATTCCCCGGCGCAAATAAGCCAAATTCTACTTTGTTTGGAGTATACCTTGACGAGTGGAGCTGAATCTGGCAGCTGGTGCTGTTTAAAACAGAGGTGTGGCACTTTTTTTGTTGTTGTTTAAGTTGAGCATTTATCATTAGTAGAGATGGAGTGCCAGCTATTTCATTAATTAAAAAAAAAAAAAAGACTATATAAAACGTTACATATAATAAAATAAAAAACTGCAGCATGTGCTGGCTGCTCGTTGACTCCGTCTGTCATCTCATTAGTGTTTGGGTGGTGTTTTTCCTGTAAAGGCATTTGTTGTCTAATATCTCATGTTGTTGTTTGTGCTTTATAATTTCATTTGCCTGATCTAACTGTAGGTTATCATTCAAACTAGTTTGAATGAAGCCGACAGCCACTCTCTTCTATCCAACTCCTGAGTGTAAACTTCTCCAGACCTCTATGGATTGTAATGGAGAAGTGGCTATGTTATAAAGGGCTGACTGATACAGAGACCGGTCAGGCCCTCCAGGAGGTCTACAAGCAGAGAGGTTTATGATGACAGAGACATGAACCACTCTGAAGACAGAGGCCAGATAGACTCTGAATGAAATGTGGAAATGTACGGTGAAGGAAAATTCGGTAAGATAAAACATTGTGTGAAGAGGACAGGTTTGAGAGATGGAACTAGTCAAAGAAAGATTTAATGCCATGTCAATGCTAACTGAAAGACCAAGATAGGAGAGATCATAGGACATGGAAATGATCTACTGAGTAGATCATTTCCATGTCGCCATGTCAATGCTAACTGAAAGACCAAGATAGGAGAGATCATAGGACATGGAAATGATCTACTGAGTAGAAACAATAAAGGCAACAAGGCAGCAAAGATGGGACAATATGAGCTGTGCTGCAGTAGAATGTTGTTTATTTTCTCAACTGCTGGCAAGCGTGCTCTGGACCTTTAGCATAGGTTCATATTGCTGAGACTGATTTGACTAGAATGGAGAGTAAAAACATGAAACAGGAAGCTGTATTTCTACTTTAACCTCAGTTATAATGAAAGGAAATACAAACCCGAAGTCCTTATGTCTTCATCTAATTCATGTAACACACAGAGGTTATGAATAAAGGGGACACATCTTTCAATGGAGATGGATTTGCAATCTGTAACTACATGAAAATCGTAGTTCATTTTACCATTCACGTGTCCTCAATGTTTCTTTGGGAGTTCATTTGGTAGCAATGATATGAAAGTAAAACACAAATGTTGAATGGGTCGACTGAGTACTTGTCCACACCAACTTGGTGTACGACAAAGATGTATTTTATTGGTATCGTGTGTGAGTGCTGCTGGATACGGTCCTGGCTGTGTGCATGTGTGCGCTTTCTACCTGAGAGTTGCTCATGCGTCCCAGGCCATCCTCAGGGCTCCAGCTGCCGACCTTCTGGGACATCTCCTGAGCACGAGCCGTGACCCATGATTTGCTCTCCGGGACCCCCCCCTCCACCGGCCTATGACACACACCATCCCAGACACACCTTCCTTAATTGGTCTGCTTTCCACAAACCACTTCCTGTCAAGTGAAACAAGACAACCAGATCCAACTCACAGGCTGTCGACAGTCTCCGTTGTCTCAGGTGGAGGGAGGGCGCTGTTAAGTCCCGGATCCCCATCCTGGGTGGGGGAAGGAGGCTCCACGCGCTGAAACAGTAATGGCGTTCGATTCTGTGTGAGATATACAACATGGCCGTCGCCAGCTATCAGGCAGACTGACAGGGAAATGGAGGGAGAGGGGGCAGAGCAGGGAACAGAGCAGGGAACAGAGGGCAGGTAGAGAGGGGGCTTGTTGGCTGAAGTGAGGTCAGGCAAAAGAAGTAATGAGGTAAAAGTGGAATAAATGCGAGGGGAGGGAGTCTTGAGCAACTGATGCCCAGCAGCTAGCAGGAGAGAGGGATGGATGAACTAAAAAGGGCATCCTGGGACCTGCCAACCCCTTGAGGCCTCCAGGTCCAGGACTCTAACCATTAGAACGCTTTGTAAGGTCCAATAAGGATGTGGAATTCACCCACTCCGTCTGGGTCTTAAAGAGAATGATCAGTAATCATTCTGGGTTTCATCTGAAGATGGTTCTAAATACTCTAACGTTGATAGAGAAACAGAAGACTGATATACAAGGGGAGAAATAAAAGAGTGAGCCTCGTTCAAAGACGTCATGGCAGATAAATACTGCAACAATCCTGTGGAGGGGAACATATAGCAGGTGAAATGCATGTGGGGACAACGCTACGTTCATTGTCATTCATTTACGAGTCATCTACTGAAAAGGTCTCAACAGTACCACCTAATAACCACCACTTACACATGTAAGTTAGATGAAAACAATTAAACTCCAGTGCATGTCAAATGTTATCGTTCGCATTCAAATGTTTTCAATATTTGAGCTTTGTGATTGTAAAATGAGACTTTCTTTAGTTCGCTCTACCTTTACTCAAATCCAAACTGTGGCAAACCTTCCGTCAATGAGTGCAAACACTAAATATAATATAATGTACAACATGTAAAACACATGTATTTTGTTGTGTGATGATATCAGCACTAATGACATTTTTTGGATCATGAAACACTGCAGAGGTCTCTCACTGGGTGTTGCTATACAACATATGGTAGGCCGGTACTGCTGCCGCGGTCAAGACAGGCAGCAGCCTACAATGCAGCAGGTGTACTGGGGAGAGGAGATGATGAACAGTATGTTTGGACAGGAGGAGTGGGGGGATAAGTAAAAGGTTGAGTGTGGAGCACTGTGTGTGGCCAGAGGACTGTGAACGAAGGAGGAGGAGAAAAAAAGTGCATGAGAAAGCAAAAAGAGGGTTCCGGAAGTGTGCCGATGTTTGAGAGACATTGGAGGTATCTTTACACGTGCAATGAAATATCAGGTTGGGGAGTGTCCTCAGAAGCATGCAGCTCTTGAAGTAGTCCATGCTGGCTGCATACACCTGTTAAGGACCATTCAGTTCTGATATAATCTCATCGTCTGAATCACTAAGATGAAAGACAGCAAAATGAATGCGGAGGGTGGTCACCTCTGTCACTGACCTGACGGGTATAGGGTGCAGCAATGTCAAAATGCAAATCTTTAGGTCAGGTTACGAGCATGTGTGATGGGGAGTGAGGAGGTACAGTACACGGACGGAAGAATCGAGCTCAGCAAAAGAAGCCCTCGTGTGGGCTCCTATGTTGTTGAGGCATGGGCACCTTAAGGGCTCTGACAACATTTCAGCCTGCTTGAATCTAAAGTGCTAAATAACTGCTACACTTTGATATAAACCATCTAGTAAATTAGCATTTTAAATCTTAAATCATGAATTGTTTGCATTTCTTTTCTGCCAACACTAACAATGACTGTCAAAGCAAAGAGTAATACACTTTGCCCAGCAGATGGCAGCACTGTTTTGGCTGTTAGAGAATGAGTGTTTGCTTCCTCTAAGTCCCTTTCAGGTGACTGTCCACATCCTTATGTCAGTCCTTTTTTTCAGAGGTTGTCACAGCCCGGGCTTATATGAATGGGAGTACAGCCCTGCAGCCTTGATTTCAGTGCAGTCAGTCTGCCTTTGACTTTAAAGGGTCGGATGCAGGTAGAGTGGAGCGCTATTCATTCCCCTTGAGACAGCAGTACCTGCTCATCACGAAGAGCCTGCGAGCGCTTGATCTTGCTCTGCCGGTAGTACTCCATGATCATCATAGCGGCGTAGATTTTCCCAACTGTCAAGTCTGTGGCTGCTGAGAGAATGACAAGTTACCCTGCAAGATTAGACCTTTTGGTATGGACCCTGAGCGCGAGAAATGGTAGAAAGGGGTGAGGCATGCACACAAACAGAGAAACATCTCACACACAACATTGAGCAAATAGTCTTTTCACAGACAGATTTTTTTATTTTTTACTGTATCTTACTTTAGTTTGATTTTATATAGCATTTATATTTGTCACAGGTAAAACCTTGTAATCAAAGCATCTCATTGTGATATAGATCATGCAAAACTCAGTCGCTCCAGGAATCTGCAATCATGTGATCGCAAGAATCAACGTAAATTTAACCAAGTCGTCAACAAAAATAAAAATAAATAGAAAATAAAATCTGTGATATCTTGACTTCTTTGGACTTGTTTGCAAATGTGATGCTAAATGCACAATACATTCTGATAGCAAAATCTCATGCATTTCACAAACTAAAGCAACTATGACATCATGCAACTAGTGCATTAGCACCTGTGCATTTGCTCTCAGTGTAATAAGACTAGAAATATACACTATATTCTATCACGCACAGCCAGCCTAGGGCACACAGCTGACTGCCCCTGAAGTGAAAAGACGTCTATAGAGGGTTGATCTATAGTGAGGCACCCTCTGATCTGAGGCACAGAGAGGTTGAGACGGCTGGTGGGTGTATTCTGTGGCTAAATGAAAGGACAGGAGTTAGGCTATTGTGTGTATTGTTCTGTGTCTATACCGTGCAGCCCGTGCTTTCTCAGTGCTTCTGTTTGTCTTCATAGATCTGAGGTGTATATATATGGTGTGTATATATATATATATATGGATGTGCGAGCTAATGTGCCAGCTGTATCAGAGGGTGCAGCAGTAAGAGAGAGACTGGCTGAGAGAAGCGGTCCTCAGGTGGCGTGAAGAGAAACAACGTTGGAGCACTGGGCGGCACACAGGGTGGCTGCATCCAAGCCACATTGCTGCGCCTGCACAACACTCTGCAACTTACACTTGTGTGGCGTAACCAGCAAATCCAGAGTCTTCTGGGAGAGGTTGGGCCAGATCGCCATCATCTCTTTCCTCAGCTCGGCGTCCATCTGGTGCTTGTCAATACCACCTAAGCAGATTCATCCATCACGCGCATGCACATATATAGATACATGGACATTCATGCCCAACATGGACACACATTCAGGCACACGCAGGAATGTACATGAAAAGCAGTTTAGTCATAGATATAAACCATTCATACCCATTCAGATTGATACAAAAAGGTATAAGAGAGGACATACAAACATGAAAACAAAGACAGACAAACAAACACAAGATTTTCATTAGTAAGCTTAATTGCTATTATCAAATCATAACTGCACTGAAAAATGTACACAAGTGATTCAGTTGTGGACTTGAAAGAACCCCGATTCCAAAGGATCTCAGCCTCACACACAACACAGGATCTACTGCCATGGAAACAACGCTGTACTGAGAAGCATCAGGAAGAGCTGAAGGTTTCTGGGTTCAGCACAGAAATAGCAGACAGCACTGCACTATGGGGGGAAATAAGGGAAAGAGGAGAAGACAGCATGTGAAAATTGGAGTAAAGGAGGAAAGAGGGATTCCAAACCTTCCGCACCCTTGGCGATCTTGATGTCCAGTGCTGTGCGGATCAAGGCCATGAGGGTGGAGTTGAAGTGGACCGTGTTGTCATCGGCCACAGGCAGATCCATACGGAGCAGTCTCTGTGGGAGAGCCAATCAGGGTGAGTGGTGAGAAAATGGGGAAGCAAGTGGAGTGGTATGTATGTGGAACCTCCAGGTGACAGAGGGGAATGGGGAGGAGGGAGGGGTTTGGGTAAAGGAGGTTAAAGGAGCTTTGCATAGAATCTGTAGCAGGCTCTCACTCTGTCTGTCTACCTTTAACAAATGGCTCAGACTCAGCTCCTGTCAGATTAGGCACATTTTATATAAACAATTTTCAGGGATTCACAGATTGTTTGTCATGAGAGAACCTGTGAGTGATAAGGTATTAAATTAAGACATTTTTTTTCAGATTCTTCCCTCAACTTATAAATTAATATATCTTCTAGCCATAATGTTGTCTATGCATGTTTGTTGAAATCCAAAAGACCTCACAGGTTGGTTAAACGTGTGATCTTGAGCCTTCAACAAAGAAACAGGCCGAGTGGCCGCTACTATGATCCAGAGCTCCCCCTGGGGGTTTGGAGGTTCACAGTGAAAACAACAGAGACCAGACGATAAAGCAATAATCAAAAAACAACCAAGGGACTGATATAAGGAAGGGGAACACTGTGTTTTTTGTTTATTGGTTTGATCCTTTATTGGTCTTGTTGGTTTATAATTGAAACAGACAGTACGAAGACACACACCAACTCACAGATGACAGAGTGACATTCGTGTGTGTTTGGTGACAGAAGACGGCGACAACCCAAACATGCAGCATATCATGCCTCCCCCCATATCCCGATTAAATGCCTCTCCTTTAATCCATGAAATCTCTATTCCCCCAAACCCTTCTTGCACCTCCCACCCTCATGCAGCATGCGATGCACACGCAATATGCCTCTCAGGACAAGCAGCTGCACAGCCGTACACAGAAAGCATCCTCTGTTGGCGACATTAAAATGAGTTTGTGAGTTGTTTTAAACGTGGCTGTTATCGAAGAGAATACGAAAATTTGTAGAAGATGGGGCTTGGCGGAAATAATAGAGCATCTAGCTCAATCGCTAATTATCTGATGTCTAATTAGTGAAAAATGGGCACAGACTTGGAGGGTTAATAGGTGAGAGAGAGCAGCATTCTGTGGAAAAAGAAAGAAGAGGAAACAAAAAATGGCCACCATGGAAGTGCTGTTTTGGTGCTACGATGTAAAAATGATTGTTCAGGCGAAAATAATCCTGGTGTGTGTGGAAAATATGAGGTGAAAAGAAATATCTGTTCTGCCAGAAAAAAGATATAATAAGAGCTGATAGGGAAAGCCTAAGGGACAGAGATGATAGAGAAATAAAAATCAATAGGTTAATAGGTTATGAGCTGGAGCGTGTAAAGAGAAAATGTGACCAAAAATAGACAAACAAAAGAAAAAGTTAAGAAAAAAAAGAAAGGAACATCACCAGACTTAGTTGTCGGTGTCTGTAAGAAAGCGATCCTGCCTGAAGGCTCTACTGTCTCTCTTCAGGACAGAGAAGATGGAAGGTTAAAAGCAGTGGAGCTAGATGGGTCATTGTTCTGTGGACTGGTTGGAAGGTCAAAGGTAACGTTTGGATTACTCTCATTGGCAAGGGGCTGAGGGAAAGTGGTACGGGAGGGTAAGGCATAAACACAGAGATGGCGGCCTTCTGGAAAAGTTTTCCAGTGGCAATTATAAAAGGGTCAGATTGAGATGGAAGCCAAAACCATGCATGTAGCGCATGTTAGGTTGTTGGGCAGGGGGATAGAGTGTCTGGCTTTTAATTCAGGGAGGAAGCTTTTAGGAAAGATGTTTGAGGGTAAAACCAAAGGATGAGGAGAAAAGGAAAGCATCAAATGTAAGGCTGGGAGAAAAAAAAGACCTGGGTCAAATAATACATTATAGTCCACACAGGAAACAACTATGTTTTCTAGCAGTGTAATTAAGTGGACATCATGAATGGAAACTTTTTGTTAGAAGAAAATAACCTTAGTAGGTGGTATACCTTCCTTGAATTGCACTTGTGTTTAAGCCTGATCCATATGGAACCGTAAATAGTATGAAATGTCGGCACTATTTGCCCCAGGTCTGCTGGAGGAGAAGAGGGGAGTTGGGTAAAGCAATGGGTAGCGATGGGAGTGATCTCCTGTGCCTACAGGCTGTTTGGCCGGCTGCCCCCTGAGGCTCACAGTGATCTGCCAATGATGTTTCATGAGACCGTCACGTCGTTCACAAGAGGAGTTACAGGAACATGTGGCAACATAGAGGTTAAGTTGTTATCATTCTGTATGTTTCTATTCGGATAACAATATGTCTGAGATTATTGTGTCTGTGCAGACTATTTGACAGACAGGGCTCTGTGCATGGGGTTGGTGGTGGTGGTGGTGGTGGTTATCGGCCATGCAGAAGGCAGGTGAGGGAGTGTATATGTGTGGGGAGGGGAGCAATATGCAGAGATGAGGGGGGGGCTGGAAACAGAATAGAACTGCATTGACGACAGAACCAAAGGACAAAGAGAAGATTGGACTTGCAGATAGAAAAAGGCTGCTTGGGGGCTTGGAGCTGCTACATGAAGGGTGACAGAAAAAGAACTGCTTCTGTATGGCAACCAAAGGCTCTCTGAGGAAAACACATCACTGAGACAAGCCCCTCTGCTCTCTCTACCATTAGAAATAACAGATAATATCTATGTGTAGGTAGACTTAATTCTGTGTGTGTGTGTGTGTGTGTGTGTGTGTGTGTGTCTGCCCCATCCACAGGACGGAACGAGTCAGAGGACGTAAGTCTAGCGGACCTTCCAAGCCCTGCTGCACACGCATGTTTCTGTGTCGGAGTACGTGTGTCTACATGAGTGAAATGTGTGCCTAATTAATTCATATATTTAATGCTTGTTGTAGCTAGATGTTTGAATAACTGCGTTGGTGTATACTCTTAAAAATGACACTGGACTTGAATGTGCGTGGCTTTCGTCATGTTTGTGTAAGTGACCTTGTGTGTCTGTCGTACACGGCGCAAACGAGCTGAGAAGGTCCCTCTTTTCGTCCCCTCCTGTGGATACGCACCCCCGCCTAACCCTTCACCCTAATTGTCTTGCTACCCCCACCCCACCAGTCCCACACCACCACACAACGCCACAACACCGACCAGCCCACCCCCACTTTCCACGAAAAGAAACAGAAACAGAACTAAAGAAACAACGACACTAAATTTTACACCACGTTGAGCGCTTAAATCCCTGGCCCCTCCCTCCTGGACCCCCAAAGCCCCCCCCCCTCCCCCGACACCCATAGGAGACTCGGGTGAAGATGAGGTCCTTTCTGACCTTGTAGGCCACCCGTGCTGGACACCTCTTCCCGAGGCCTAGTGGAGGACTCATGTGCCTCAGCATGTCATACATTTCCCTGCAACTGATCCTGCCACTGCATCATCAGCCAGTGCCATCACCCAGTTAACAACAGCACAAAAAAAAGGGAGAGATGGAGATATTGAGAGAGGGAGAGAGACAAGAGGGGAGGAGTTGGGAAAAAAAAAGAGAGATTGAGGAGACGATTGATTAGAGGGTAGAAGTGAAAAGAGAGAAGAGGATCACAGTGTCAGAGATTGAGAGAGAAAAAGACCAAAACAAAGTAGAAGAACAAAACAACAGAAAGACAAGGTTATTGGGCTGATTTGGCCGTGTGGCTTCTCTATGAGCTACAGTACTCAAGTCAAGTCAAAAAAGAGAGGGAGTAAATGACAGAGGGAGGGGAGACAACAAGAGGATTGGAATTTGAGAATTAAATGTTCTCTTATAGTATCAGAAGACAATAAAGGCACAAGCCCTGTGTGTGTGTGTGTGTGTGTGTGTGTGTGTGTGTGTGTGTGCGTGTGTGTGCGTGTGTGTGTTTGCACAGAAGAGCAAGGCAGAGCTTGACAGCAAGCACCAAGCTGCTGCTGCTCGGACGAGGAGAGGGGAGGAGGAGGAGGAAGGGGTGTCAATGCAGTTTCTGTCTTTCCCCCAACCCCCAAAAAACCAAGAACAATGCAACACTACAGTGAGCAACCGTAGCTTGCTTCATTATAGCCATAGCTCCAAGCAAAAGAAAAGAATATTCAAGAGAGAAAAATAAATTCCATATCTCAAAAACAAAATTTACAAAAGTGGTAAAACTTCTTAATGTGGATCCCCCCCCCCCCCCCCCCCCCCAGTTCACTTAGTGCATTTCACATGCTTCCCCTGGGTGTCTGCATTGTCCCGCACATTCTCACAGCAGTTTAGAATGCAAGTCGATAATGGTGGAAAAGAAGTTGTAAAATTGAAATGAAAAATAAATAAAATAAAGCGACATTCACTCCATTCCTGGATGCTGTGGCTAGCAAGTGTGGTTGAGAGATTTTGTTTGAATGGAAGTCAAACCTTGCAGGCCACCCTATGGGGGCATTTCTTGCCTAAGCCGAGAGGCGGGTCGATAACTCGTAATAAACTGTACATGTCCTTATAATGAATGCGCCCACTGCAAGAAGAATACAGGGGAGTTAAGAAACACACACACATACACACAGGAAAAAAAAAACACACATCCAGAGAGAAGAGAGAACATTGGGAGGAAGAGCACAAGATTGACAAGAACACAGTATCTGAAAATACTTTCCAACATGTTTACTGTAAAGAGCACTCTGTAGACACATCTGCACCTGAATGAACCTGCAAACTCTACTCTACACACACTCTACGCACTACACTGCATGCCACATATTAGTACATGTGGCCCTTAGCACTGCCAATATTTATCCAAAATCTTCCTATTTTTTCTGTTGTTTTTTCCTTCTCTTACTCTGCGTCCTTAGGCCTTTCCTTCCACTCTCCAGTCCAACCCCTAACTGGATGTGTGCACAATGTGATTAAGGAATTGCAAACTGAGGAGAAAAGCATGCGCTTGGTAAACAGCTAAATGCTTTAATAGCCGCTTGTGATCTGCAGATCCCCTCCCTCTTAAATATGTGTTCAATGCCAGCCAAGTGTCTTTGCTCCCTGTCTTCTGGTTCCTGTGCAGCGGTGTCCATTTCATGGTGCGGTCGGATTGAAAATAGCATGTTAGTTTTCAAGGAAGGGAACATTCTCACATTGTTGTGGAAACACAGATACCATTTTATACATTTTTAAATAATGTCTATTGATTGCTAAGACTTATAAACCATGTAGTTTAGACAACCTGCAATCAACTATTTAAACCTCTCCTTCATTTTTTTTCGGATAACTGTTTTCTCATTTTAATCTTCTTCCTTTAACACTTTCCCTGTTTCGAACAGTCTATGTGCAGTCTACAGGACAGCATGAGGGCAACACACAGGCACTGGAATACAGATACCATGAAACATAGCATGTCTACACTCGACATTTAGACTACAGAGTTGAACAAGGGAGCTTTGTTTGGAGTGTAGACGTTGCCACTTTAAGTTGTTTTAACAGTATGCAGATTCCAGAGGAGTGAAAAGGTTTGGGAAGGAGTGAGGGGTATTTCAGGACACTTGACAGAGAAGAGGAGGAGGGGGGAGGGGTTGTACGGTGTAAGAGAGATAACCAGATGCCTGATGAGGTTATGCTCCGATCCGTTACAGCACCCTTGCAGCTCTTTCACTAGAAAATTCTGTTCTTTTAACCAGTTGACGCCGGTGCTTTGTTGGTCTTTTGTCTATTTCCGGACCATCTCAAACAACTTGTGCTGATGTTGTGCACAGTTAAAAACTCACACACATTTACAGCATTGTTGAGAAGTTACAGTTTCCATTGCTTGGGCCTTGCTCTGTAGTAACAAGCATATTAAAACAAGCACAAGCAATAGACAGGTCTTAAGTAATGTTGTGTGGTTGTATGTGGACTACTGGTGCAAACACAACCAGAAATGTGATACCTTTATGGATATAACTTTAGCTGTCACTGGGTTATTAAGTAATCATAAAGGGTGCATCATGTCAGTGTTAAGGCCTGTTAAATTACTGCTGGGTGTACGTATGTGTGTGTATGTGCATGTGCACCGTGAGTGCATGACCACTCACCAGGCAGCAGGATCATACTCGGCCCATATCCTGACATACTCATCCAGGTGGTGAGGTCCCAGTATGGACGAATCTCTGGTCAGGTACTCAAAGTTATCCATGATGACGGCTACGAACAGATTCAGCATCTACACACGAAAACACACAAAAAGTAGAAAAGGTCAACATCTGATCTGACAAACGGAGCCACTCAAAACTGATTTCACAAAATCATCAGTGTAATAATTAATAGTAAATCATGTTTTTTATGGAATAGCACCAGAAACATGCGGAGTTGCCAGTCAATTGGTGAATTACTGACTTCCTTTTGGAGGCGTAACTAAGAGCTGTAGAACTTGAGACACTGAGGGACGACATATCTGGTTATTTCTTTGTTTAGATTAAAGACTGAATGAGAGTGTGTCTTTCCCATCTGGACTCCAATACATTGCCAGATGAAGTTGCACTGACATAACAAGGTGTTCTCATAAAACACATTTTTTTACTGTATACATCTTTCTATGGAAACTGATCCATGGGCATCTTAATCCATAGTTGAAGCTACTGGATCATAAAATAGGGTTAGGGTGCAGCCGAGGGCGTTGCATTACGTAATATACATACTCACCAAGAATGAACAGAAGAAGATGAAGGAGACAAAGTAGAGGTATGCAAACTGGCTGCCACACTCTGGCTCCGGATTCCCTGACAGAGGGTCACACCCCTTGCTCCCCAGACACGAGAGCATTATCTCGTGCCACGCCTCTCCTGTTGCACTCCTACGACACACAAAAACGGACTCGATTTACGACACATTTGGAGTATTAAGTCTGTCAGGTTTCTGATGTTTATTCAAGAATCCCATAATTTGTTTCGACGATAACAATGAGTTGCAAACAAAGCAAATAAACAATGTATATATATATATATACAGATTCACACGCGTTCACACACACACACACACACAAGCACCTGAAGAGCAGCATGAGAGCCATTACGAAGGTCCTGAAGTTGTTGTGCTGGTTGATGGCACTCTCTCCGTCTTCTTCAATAGCGATATTCCCAAACAGCTGTTGAATGCAATCACACTGTTAACACTGAAAAACCAGACAATACCTGTTTATTTGAGAAGCAGGGCCTAAATCTTGAACACTGAATCCTTTACTGCACACGTGCCACTTCCATAATCCCCCACCCATTATGCACCAAATCCTTATGACCATTATCACCCAATATTATTCTCCTTCTGTACATCTTCCTGAGCGCCATTATCCCAAAAATATATATTTAATGTATCCTTAAAGCACTTGAGCAATTTTGAGGTTGAGACTTTCACCCACCTGCATGCCAATGATGGCGTAAATGAAGAACAGCATGGCAATGAGGAGGCAGACATACGGCAGCGCCTGAGGAGAGACAGATTAATCGTTTGGTATTAAGTTTGATACATACGAGTGCACTGTGCACGGTATACAAGACTGCACCTGGGCATTGTCTATGAATATAGACACAATATTGGATATGGGTATTTCATTAAAATCTACAAACCTGAATGCACATGATGTGTGTGTGTGTGTGTGTGTGTTATACTGTATAATTGGGTGGAAACCTTGAAGGACTGAACGAAGGTCCAGAGCAAGATACGGATGGTTTCTCCCTGCCTTAGCAGCTTGATGAGACGAGCTGCCCTGAACAGCCTCAGGAAACTTAGGTTGATGAAATTATTCTACATTACCGCCACGACATAACCACAGAGAGAGAGAGAGCGACAGAGAGAGGAGGGGCGTAAAGAGGATTGAGATTGAAAGTTGAAGATAGGAAAGTAATGAAAATGGGAAAGAATACAATAGAGAAAGGCGAAAGAGGACAGAGGGATTTGGGGTTGGAATACAGGGAAAGAGTAGTTAGTTGTAATGCACAGTGTGCAAACAATTTGACTTAGATGACCAAAACATAACAAATGTAAAAAAGGACAGTCAAACCCAAACTGAGGGAGATTCAAACTCAATACAAAAAAAAAGGATCAGGAGCCAAACAAGTCAAAGCAAACCAAACTCAAATCAGCAAGGCTCCAACAAGCTTTTCATATCCATTAAGTTAGACAAAACCAAACCAAACAACACAGGGGAAGGGAAATCATCCAAATCTAACTAGTTTCATCCAATTGGGTTACATAATAATAATAGTGGTAGGAATGGTGATTAGTTAAGAGTGCAGGGACGTCAGGGCATTTCCTTGGAAAGACAACCAAATGCACTAATTCTCTCAAGGCAAAATGTGCAATATTAAAAAATGAAGCAAGCCGACAGCATGCAGACATGCACTAACACAAGGCGACCTGGTAAAGCTAATGGCAGCCGACGCACCGTCCAATAGGATTGGCTGCCAGAGTCCTGTGAAAATTCTGATGTGATGCCACAGACGAATAAGAGCACCAGGGTGGTGGAGGCACCAACTAAGGTCATTATATCTTACGTGGTTTCCTTTAACTTATGTGTCTTACAAACCGTGTTTCTATGTGGCAATTGAACTTGATATTTTTATCCATTTTATTTAAAAAAATCAATCACACATTATAATCAATTCATGTGAAACTCGTAATACAGAGTTCTCCAACCACGTATCACAGTTAAGAACAAAAGATGTGCAATTGATGTGCGTTTAAGTGAGACATGAAGTGCTCAAAAGGGACTGGCAGCAGGCACATGCAGGTTCCATCTACAACACAGCGTGTATTACATTGCTCTGAGTGTGTATGTGTGTTGTGAAAATAAAAGGTTCCTTCCAGAGACACGTAAAGGGCAGCATGCATCACTTGTTCTCTCTGCCACAGGCAAAGCTTTGGATTCACTCTGTCGCTACAGGAAACACTCTCCCAGTCACTGTCATACGTGTGGGTGTGTATGTGTCTATGTATGCACACACAATGAATGGATAATCTCAACGTATATATGTTGCAATCAATTCCAGTTTATACAATCCAATCCTTTACAAACTGAACACGAGTTCTCAGTAAAGGATGTAGAGTGTGGGTATAGGATTTACAGCTGTATAAGATATATATGAATTGATACAGTGACTGGTAGAGGGGGTCACAAATGAAAATTGTACAAATTTAGAGCTCACTCGAGGTTGAGGGGTTCTGTGTGCTGGTGGGGGGGGGGGTCAAGCAAAACAGGCACATTTCACAGCTATAACATTTGCTGGGATGCAATTAAAACAGATGCCGTAAAATAAGATCTCCAAAAAAATTACAAACCATCTACATGTGGATGTTGCAGACATATGGTTTATAGCAGCAAATTTTTGGATTTTTGGTTGGTTCGAAGAACAACCAGAGAGATTGACCAAGCCGGTAGTCATGGGTGGACACAGAGGATTCATAGTGCATTTTGATTGGATGGAATCGCAGGAAGTAGTAGGTGTTGGGGGAGAAGGGGGGCGGGGCGAAGTAGTTTACAGGAGATCGTCGTTAAGTTTGTGGACGATTTAAAGAAAGCATGTAAAAAGATAAAAACAAGAAAGAAATGAACAGTCATTACAGACACAAGTTAACACAGAAGCAGAATCATGTTTCGTCTCATCTTTGTACATTCATGAAGTAGACTCATAAAGTCCCAGAATAAGTCATTTTGTTCAAGTTTAAATATTTTCAACTCGCATGGATGCATCTTCCTTGTTTGTGTTTAAATGTTCCCTATATACAGTATCTAACAAAGCCGGATAATCTGGTCGAATAATGTGTAGACATCATGCTGTTGCTTAACTGAACTGCCTATAGCCATCATGGCATCACTGACTCAAAGCAATTTAGTGCGCTCTGTAGCAATAATGTAACTAACACTATTCTAGTTAATCAGACCACTTACTTTAAGCTATGATGTTCAGGTATTGCTTTGCTCTAACTGGGTTTCTTTCCTCAGCTGTAGTTACTAACAGATGTCTGATGCAACTGTGAAGCCTCCATTGGACAACCTGAGATGCAATCTGATAATTAGATTGGCTATTAGTTTGCTTGCAGAAGCTGTGCACTGACTCGCTACAGAGCACCGGCATGCTTCCTGCCTTGCTGTCAGAGGCTCAGTGCTGGCTAGCTGGAGTCTGGTCTCTTCTCATCCCACCAACTGGGACAATTATATAAGGCTTTCAGGAGATGTTCATCCATGGCTGAGCAATGCAAGACTCAACAGTGGCCTCTAACTCATGCTCTTCCCTAACTTGTCTTGTCTCGTCTACCATATGTGTTGTAGACAATGTGACAGATGTACAATTCCATAGACACATGCTAAAGCTCACCTAACAAATAGTCACACACAATGAAACATTTCTAATACAATAACATGACTCCTCAATACACATCTCTCAGATCCTGCTACTTACCCCAAGCTCCGTAACCAGGATGTCAGTGATGCTGCCCAGAACTGTCACACAGTCAAAAATATTCCAGGCATCTTTAAAATAATTCTGTGAACAGGACAAGAGAGAGAGACAAAAGAGAAGAAGGAGGGAGGAAGAGGAAGAAATAGGGAAGGTGAGAGGGTGACGTGAAGAAGTGAGACAGTAAAATGTAGGAAAACATGGATATGGCAGGGATGGATGGGAAAACAAAAAGATTATTGACAGAGAAATGGGCGATGCAAGGCGAGGAAGCATAGACAGTTCACATTGAAATTCCAAGGAAATGATATGGCAGGAATGCAGCAATATTAAAATGAGAAGCAAGATGTAGAAAGAGTGAGACAATGAGAGAAATAAAGAGTGACACGGAGAGAGAATAAAAGTCAAACAGAAAGAGAACAAGAAAGTGAAGGGAAAAAAAGGCATGTCAGTGTCCGACAGGAACAGGAAAGGAATCAGATAAGACAAATGGACCATCAGTGACGGCATGTTGGATGGACGCCAGCAGACAAGCTTGGGACAACTTGTGCTGCATCAGAACCACGACACCGGCCATCAAACATCACGTACTGTAATATCCCTCTACCTCATAAACAAATCACAACACAGAGTCCTGCTGCATTCCTTCTAGTTTTAAAACATTCATCAAAAAACATTATCACATCCCTCTCCTGCATGCAATAATTCATACAAAACCCATTTATCCACAGATATGCACGATGATGGATTTTGAGATTTTCGCTTTAAAAGTACAGCGACTCGGAGAGAAAGAGGGATGGCGAACACTGACCAGCGAGGTCTGCTTCTTTTGCTCTCCTACATATTGCCTGCAGCCAAACTGTGCATTAGACAAGTGGAGGGACTTGGAGAAGGCGGCTATTAAAGTACACCACCTTGACAAACACACACAGACGTCTCTTTTGGTGTGTATGATTGTGCATGCTGTGTGTGTGTTTGAGCGCACTCTCCCAGATTCAAATCCTACCCTTCTTAATCTCCACCCTCTCTGTAAACTTTGCTTCACTTTTTACTTCCTATCTGTCATTCACTCTCACTCCTCTAATTACTATATGACAGTTTCCCCCCTCTGTCCTGTATCTCCTCCCAACATTCATCCCTAAAGTATCTCTTCTATCCATTTCATCCCCGTCCGCCTCCCTCCCTTTCCTTTGCGGCTCCGATGACTGCACACTTTACTGCTGACTTCTGGCAGTTTGCTATTTCATTGCATATTTGCTTTTTTTTTAGCTCATTATTTCCCCACAGTTTCTCCTTGGAAATGTTAGAAATAAAGCACGACAGAAAATGTGTCCCAATTTAACTAAATAATGGATGGGGTGACATGAAACAGAGCGTCATTGAATTTGCTGAGTCCATTGTTTTCTACATCTTAAGGCCATTGTTTTGGTTATCAGGCATGCAGGCATATTGAGCCTTACTGTTCTCACCAATAATTGCTTGGACTCGTTTTAAGTACTCTCTCTTAAGATTATTAATTATAATTACTCAAAAACAACATACAACAGTTTTCCTGTGCTATGAGGCAAGAGTGGATTTCAGGCAGAGTACAATGGATTTTAGGTGTCGCTGTCATCAGTTGTTGTTGGTCAAGCACTGATTTAATTTTTTTCCCCAAAGTGACACCATGTCATAAAAACAGATTTTCAGCACTTTCTACAAAGATAGAGTAGAGCAGTACGTCCTCACCACACACACATCCACTCACCAGAACTCCAAAGGCGATGATCTTGAGTACACACTCCATGGAGAAGAGGGAGGTAAACACTATGTTCAGGTTGGCTAACACAGCTTCATATGTTTCAGAAGCTCCATCATACTATAAACAAACACACACACACACACACACACACACACATATACACACACACACACACACACACACACACACACACACACACACACACCACCAGGGACAGAAAGGAGGGTGAGTATAAAGACATATCAAGAGACACACAGTTCAGCAAACCCAATGGAGAGTCAGACATATTCATTAAAATGTTTTGTGTCTATGTTATGTGTGCATGATTGCTTTAATGTTTTTACTATACAAACGTTTACCTTCATCATCAGCACGACTGTGTTGAGCGCAATCATTGCCATGATAGTATACTCAAATGGCGGCGAAACCACAAACTCCCACATTCGGTATTGGAAGCTCAGCTTGTTCTGAGGCATGTGGCGAGTCAGGGGCCTGGCGTTGATGGCAAAGTCTATACAGGCTCTCTGCAAAACACAAACAAAAACGTTATTGTCCTTATCCCGTTTGGTTCTGTGTCTTCCCTCTTTTCCTCTCTCCAACCCTTCTCCTCTACACAGTAGTTCTAACTCTCCCTGCCTTAGGGTCACCTTCCCAAAACCCTTATCTCTACCTTACTTCACTCTCTTGGTCCTTCCTCACCTCATTCTTTTCTAAACTATAGTCCTCCATCATCTTGTCTCCTTGCTCTTGGAAGGTGATGATGATGAGAGCCACGAAGATGTTGACGAAGAAGAAGGGGAAGACCACGAAGTACACCACGTAAAAGATGGACATTTCCATCCGGTACCCCGGGCTCGGGCCCCGATTCTCATAAGTCGCATCCACTGAATGCTTCAGTACCCTGCAGAGAAAGAGAAGGGGACAGCGGAGGGTTAGAATTGGAAAGCATGTGTGCTGCATGTGACATGTGCATGTTCCAGTACACTCACTGCGGCCACCCCTCTCCGGTAGACACGGTGAAGAGGGTGAGGAGGGCCCAAGCCACGTTGTCGTAGTGGAAATCGTACTTCTTCCACTCCCGCTTCTGCGCCTTCACTTCGTTATTACGTTCATACACCAGATACTCGCCCCTGAAATACACAAATCACATCATCAGCGTTAAGGGGAGAGTTTGCTTCCAAATTCCTATATTTTGGTTTCTGAGTAGATACTGAAGGTGCTTTGTGAAAAGGGAAGAGACTCATGTAAAATCACATGAGGCAAGCATTATGCACGAAGGGGCTCAACTCAATGTTAAGAAGGTGACCTCTCAGGATAAACACAGGTGCGTATTTCCTGACCTGCAGTCGCGCTCAAATTCTTTGGATTCATCCGTGCAGTAAAAGAAGCGTCCCTTGAATAGCTGCACAGCCACCACAGCAAAGATGAACATGAAGAGTAAGTAGACAATCAGGATGTTGAGCACATTCTTCAGAGAGTTCACCACACAGTCAAACACAGCCTGAGGAAGACAGAAGGAGACATGTTGGTTATTGTATGAAAGAAACACTTTGGATTACAATTATTTGTGTTTTGGTCTTAAATTGTGGCATTTGGTGCCATTAAAAGGTTAAGATGGTACATTATGGCCCAATTTGTACTGTAACTCTGATCTGAGGTCAAATATTTTCTATGTAAGCATACCTTGAGTTTAGGAAGACGTTTAATGGTCTTCAGAGGTCGCAACACTCTCAGTACCCTCAGAGACTTGATAGTGCTGATGTCTTTTCCCTTACTGCTCCCCCTATATGTGTGCACACACGCACACCACCACCACACAGAAACAGATACGTACGCACACACACACACACACACACACACACACACACACACACACATTCACACAAACAGAAAAATAGAGTCAGCAAGTTCAGGCGGATATCACAGGCTTACTCTTCTCAATTCCAAAATGGCAGTGGGCAGCCATTCCTTGATGGTATTTGTGTCCGAGTTAACTCAACATGAGTAACTGCGTCTGGGTTAAATACATAGCAACACATGCAGCATTGCTATCATATTACGCTTACTTCTAAGTGTGAGGTTAGCATTGTAGCTACATGCTAAGAGTTAGGTGGTAATTTACAACTACAGTACATGCTATGGGAACAACTGGTGTCATTCCTGTCTGAATGCTAACTAGTAGCTACACTTGCTTAATACTTTGCAATGTATTTCAATGCTTTACAAAGACGGCTAAAGCCTCGCCTTGCACATGCCCAGCTAACGGTGATATATATTCATGCTGCATTGAAACCTTGCTTTCCATGCTGCAATATTTCTTCTGTTAAGCAGCAGGTTGAGTGATGGTGAACTCTATTCTACACAGAGACATTTACAGAGAGAGTTTGAGAGCCTTGTTAGCGGCTGACTACCGGGAGCCCTGTTAGAGTGGTAACTTACAGTAAAATGCCCTCCTGTTAACATAATGACAGCTTACAAATGATCCCTATTGTATATTTAAATAAGATAAAAACCAACTCTTTCAACTTTAATGTCAAAATGTCAACAAAGTGTTATAAACCTGAACGAACAGCCAAACTCTCTCTTTTGATGGCTCATCCCGTTCATTTCTATCCACATTAAACTACAACTAGGATAAGCAGGTTTCACAGCATTGTTCAAACAGCATGGAATCTTGTCTTGTCGGCCGTTTTGGCAAAGACAAAGATATTTTAGCAAGCATTTCTTGATTGAAATGCTGAGCCAAACCTCTTCCTTTTAAGCACTGTGTAACTTGGGCTTTTCTAGGTACATGTGTGAAGAACACTTTTTACAAAGCTAAAAGAAAATGTAGGTACTATAAGTGAGCCTGCCAGTTAACTGACAATGCACTTAAGTACAAGAAACAATACAGGAGTTAGCTGATGCTAGCAAAGGGCTTGGATGTAAAGATCACAAGCTGTTTACCAAGATAAATGTCTAACTAGCATCATGGAAAACGTAATGGCAGTTTTTACTCCTTTCCCAGACTTTTCTAAATTTCTCACATATCAGGGTGAAAAGATTAAGGTCAAAAGCCACTGACCCTTCCTAGGTTTTGTATTGTTTTTTTCTGGGTTTTTCTTTGGTGCAGTTAGTTGGGTCTTTGTGCATTTGTTTGGTCACATTTTCACCTGTCTTAGGTCCCTTTGCTTTTATTGTACTAATGATATTGTTCAAATGGTATCTGTGTGATTCAGTTGAGGCCCTGATGCAGGTTAACTTGAGGTTTAGTTGTGTTTGAGTCAGAGCTGTTCCATGGTGAACAATGGACGAAGAAGGGGAAAGGGGAGGAACAGACTAGTACAGAAGTCAACTGTGATGGATAAATAGGAAAGAGATGTGTGATCAGAAGATCAGGCGCTGAGAGTGCAGAGGGAGAAAATGAGGAGGAAAAAGACAGAGAACTTTACCCGCCGCCGCTGCTGCTGGTCCAAACGGAGAGATGAGGGGTGAGAGACAGTGAGAATAATAGAGAGAGAGAGAGAGAGAGAGAGAGAGAAAAAGACAAAGGGTGGGAGAAAAGAACAGAATGGGACACAGAGAAAGGAGGGATTTCGAGGGAAAACATCAATATGAGAGACAGAGAGAGAGAAAAAGAGAACACAGGGCCTTCTTTTTACATCAACCCTCCCAGCCATAGACTACCAAATCTAACACACATGCACATGAACATGTACACTCAAAAAGTAGACAAAAGGTGTGACTAGAACACAGCACCAAACTGCTGCCTTCATCTCTGACATTTCATTAGTCAGGAGTTTACAGGCCAGATGCTGCTTCAGGGAGTGACCATTACTCGTAATCTTCCAGGTCTAGTGTATTTCATTGGTATTTCTGTTGATTTCATTTAAACTTTTAACATCTGTAAATTAGCGGTTCCTTTCAAATCCATAGATGTACTGTGAGCTGAAGCCTCATGAGTTACACTCTATGTCAGAGCTTAACTCACTATTAATGAGGACTGCTAGAAATGCATCAACATGCCCGTAAATAAACTAATTTTAAGCAGATTCTGCCTACTAGAACAAACATTGCCTGGTGAAAAACATTATCACAAAATGTCACGGTATCCCTTTAAGCAAACCAAACTTGGTCAGTTATCAGGCCAGTGCCTCTGCATCGGGAGCCGGTCTGGACATTAAGCTCTGGTCCTGCTGCAGAAATGTGCAGGACATCAGCACAAGTGGTGCAAAACACCAGCAGCCCTCATACCAGACTAATTGGATTAAAGGAGCGATAATCATCTCCATCGAGACTGCTGAGCCTTTCTGGAGTGCTGTTTGATTTCTAGCGATTGAATTAAGGCACTATCTGGATGTGTATGAGTCTGTTCTGACTGGTTCGGATCTCCCCATCAGCCATCAGTGTCGTAAACCCCTTTCGTAGTTAAATCAGACTTCATTGTCTCAACTGGCTTAATTGATTGTTTTGTGAGTTTGTCTTCATGTTAATATTAGTATGTACCCCTTTGCCTCTATATTTAAAATTTTCTCTTTTTAAAATTCATGTTATAATCACTTTAAATATATATGTTTAGCTGCTATGCTATTTTTGCATGCTGAATTTTTCTGTTGATTCGAAACACATTTCATTGTATCACTGCATACATCTATTTATTAGTCCATAGTTAACATTTCCCTAGGAAGTATAGACTTCGTCAGAGAGAGAGAGAGGAACTATAGACCCACACATAAATATGTAACAGACAGAGGTTAGACAACACGGAGTTAAGGACAGAAGCACACAGATATATATATATATATATATATATATATATATATATATATATATATGTATATATATATATATATATATATATATAGAAAAAACAGAAACACATACACAACTAGAAATTAGGGGGAAGAGAGTTAACAAACACACAAAAGTGATTCAGAGAGAAAGACTGGAGCAAAAGCCAGTCTTACAGATGGGGCACCACCATTAGAACCCTGGAGCACCTGCCAAGTTCATATTTCTCGAAAAAGGACAAACAAGTTCTCATGTCCATGCTGGCCTGCAATGACTACCAGAGTACTACTGCGCAAAAGCGAAGTATTTGTTCAAATTGAGGACATTTCCTTCAGATTTTTGTTTCTTCAGCTGAAGACACATTAAAATCTTCCAAGTGTGTGCTCCGTATCCCCACAATTAGCTGCAAAACCATTGTGCATGGATTCCATAGGACATGGAATACATACAAATTAAATCCAATGACAAAACAGAATATTACAGGACTTAATGTATAATTATGTAATGGTGGATTTTTTCCTTCAAGTTAATGGATACTGCTTGCCACAAACTACAGTGCAGAGAGCCATTGTTTGTTTCCCTAAGTGGGGAGCTGTAACACTGAATTTGGGAAAGAACAGCAACTCTGTAATGGGCCTGGTAAGAATGAGATTAAAAGATACATTGTCCCAACTTCATAAGTCTGTGGGATCTTCCCTTCCTAATATTCCTTGTTGACCTGAAAGTACTTTAATATGTGATCAGTTTTTAGGTCAGCAGGATGAGAGGGTAGAGTTAAGAGAGATATTGGATGTTGGTATGAATCGTGAAAGAGGTGAGAGGATGGACAAAGAGCAAAAGAGGAAGGGGAGATAATTATAAACAGGGCCGGCCAGGTATTCTGCTCAGGTCTTCTTTGGCTATGAGGAAGAACTTAAGGCTAAACTCCAGACCGATGGAAAAACAGGAGCACTGAGGGGACAATGTTGGAGCATATCATGCTGAGAAAAATCATTCATCAGTTCATTTTGATACACATATGGAGACCTTGCGTTTTTATGGATGCAGACCATCATCAACGCCTTAAGTCTTGATCTTGAATAAAGAAGCAACTTCATTCTAACAAAAAAATTTTCATTTTCAAACACAGCTCAACTACAAACTACCGTCGTCTGCCTGGTGCATGTTGGGTATCATGCTCATAGTCACAGAAAGCTTTGCCGTGCTTGCTTTGACAAACGCAGCTAACCTTAGCTACGTTCAACTGTTAGCCAAAGAGTTAGCTAGCTTTGTTTTAGCCACCAACATGAATTCATATATTGATGTAATACCATGTCTCGCAATGTCTTTCATAAATAAAATACACACCAGTATGTAGATCATATGGAGGTATCAGTATAAAATTGAGACTGTTTCATGACCAGTCAAAAACTCCTTGGGGTAACTTTAACATTTACTGTTTTCAGCTCCGCATCACCAATGCATCCATAAGAGGCAATTACAAATGGTCACTTACTTGCACATCGAACATGTGGAAGGATCAACACAACTAGCAAATCTTTTTCTCCTTTTCTCTTTCCAGAAAGAAGAAAGAGTATCTTGGTCTCCAAGTGAGGATGCTTCTTGTGTCTGCCACATCTACTATCATAACCCCACACCTTTTCCTACTCAGGTGTTACTCACACACAAGGCCGCAAAAAACAACTATGCGGGGTGTGTGTACGCAAAGACATTCTCGTTTCCTGAAAATATAAATTGGATTTTTAAAATCATGAAATCGGAGGAAGCACAACCTTATATTTCTGCAGATGACCTGTGAGTATTTGTGTCGGCGGTCAGCATTATCATTGTCAACTTATCACACCAAATGTCTTCAAACTACAGCAATATCACATTACATTTAACGTTGACTGCAGTCCTAAAGGTCTGCTTCCCTTCATGTTCTCCCCACCGATGCAAAAGCATGGCAGCAAATCCTAGAACCCACAATTCATGCTTTGTACCCAGTATCGTGCTCATAAACTAAGCCCTAATGTAACCCAGTTATGCAAATTGAACTGTATTGTTATCCTCACAGTCATGCAGATTAATTAGGGTTTAAAGTACCTGCTTGGCCGTGGAGAAAGGTGCGGAGATTTTTGAGAGAGAGCCAGCTCAGCATGACCTGGCCAGCCTTCACATAGGGCTTTTAACTCAAGAACTCCCTGGGCACTAAAGGGTTACAGGTGCAAAGGGTGGTCCTCACCTCTCACAGGGGGTAGAAGAGGTGGATAGGAAGGGGATGCTGGGATATTATTGTTTTTAACATGTTTGGGGCGTATGGGGTTGGTGGAGGGGCTTAGAAATGGCAGGACTGTAGAGTTGAATGAGAGAGAAAAAGCAGAATAAAATGGCCAACTATAGAGGATTGGCCATTTGTAAGCATAGGTAAGAAACAGCCGAGTAGAGGAGTGGACAGGAGACAAGGGAATATAGAAATACTGAGAGAAAGAGAGAAAACGTGCGAGAGAGTATGAAAGAAAGAACAGAAATGATGGATTAATGAAGAATAACAGGTCAGGCTGTACTCCAAGGTGCCAGTGAGGCAGTAGATAGGCTGGAGGGAAGGTGGAGCAAGGAGGGAAGAGAGGAGGGCAGCAGGAGGGGGACTTACGTGAAGGCGAAGGCCACCAGAGCACCACTAACCACTATAAAGTCAAGGATGTTCCACAAGTCCCGGAAATAAGAGCCCTGGTGCAAGACGAGCCCCATATCCACCATCTAAAGGAGCAAGAAGAGAAGCTGATTATGAGATGTGAACACCTGGGTATGGATGTGCAATTTGGTCTCGGAGCGCAATGAAAAGCGTCTAATCCTCATTCGGGCTGGGCTTCTCAATACCTCTGGAGGAAGTTGTTGATTGTTGATTGTGCACATTGCCTTACCTTTATCAGCATCTCAAACGTGAATACTCCCGTGAAGACATAGTCGAAATAACGTAGAACCTGGACAAAGAGAAAGAAGCAATGATTTGCTGCTGCACCCAGCTAGTGGAAAAGATTGACAGGGTGGATATGCACAACATGATGATTTCAGTTGCTGACATGAAATGTGACATTAAAGTGTGATATATTTTAAAATGTATATTTTAACTGTCTTCATTAAATTTGTCGTCACTCATTATATTTTAGTTTTATGTGACACTTGATGATTTATTTATTCATTTATTGATCCAGCTTCACACATGGCTGGAGTGACACTAGAAAGAAAAAAAGCAACCAGCATGTTAAATAAAAATAAAAGCAACATGTACTGTAATAACTCGCGTACACATAATATTGACTGTAGAACAAAATCATCGGTACGTAAACTTGTGTTCACGTTCTTACATTGTTACGAGGGGATTCGGGCCAGACCGGGTCTTCAGCTGCCAGGGAAATACTGCTCATGGCAATGACCAACAGGATACACATCTCAAAATATCGCAGGGTGCAGACGTAGTGACACGCCCGCCGAAACCTAGGAGAACACAAAGACAGATTTTATTCCTTCTCTTGCATCAGCGCTGTGCAGACCATTATATCTTTGTAAGTATCGTGTATTTGCTTTTTAACTGTAAGAGTACTCTGCATGTGTGTGCATGTGTTAGGGTGTGTGCACATGCAAGTGTTGCAGCTGAGACTCAATAGTAGATTGATTTTTCATCCACAAAAAAACACAAATGTTTGGGTGAACACCTCAAGAATGCATTCCTGTGTGTCAGCCTATGTTGATTCATATAGTGTAGGTGAGTGTGGGTGCAAGCTATTCGTAACAATCCAATTTACGGGTTGGTGGTGGACAGGATGAACATGGAGCTGAAGGGAGGCATGGGCTTGGGTCCGCCTTCACCTCCCTTCTCGTCATCATCGTCGTCCTTATCCTCCTTTGGTGGCAAAGGCTCTGTGTTGGCATTCTTATTGACTGGATCAAAGAGGGAGAGAGAAAAAAGGAGCGAAGATGAGATGAAAGTTTGTTATTTAAGAAGATTGTGAAAGAGGGGATTTAAGATAATAGAAGAAAAACTACACATTCATTCTGCACTTACTCTGCAGGATGGCATTGGTGGATGGAAAGATTGGCATGTCTAAAGCTGTGTAGTCAGGGTGGGGCAGCCTGATGACACTGTTGGTACGGTGATGGGCAATGCTCCCGTAGCTATCTAATGTGACCAAACTCCCATGAGTGCTGCTGTTAGCAAGATGGAGGGCAGACCCAAAGCCCGGGGCCACAATGTGGTGGGCAGCTGGATTAGGGGGACCGTCGCCGGGTGAGCCAGAGACCAGTTTGGTATTCATGAGGTTGTCCATATCCTCACTGTACTGGCTGTCCTGCCTGGAGAGGCTCTTTTGAATGGGCCGTGTAGTAGAGAGATTAGGGGCACTGTAATCCCTTGAAATAGGGAGCAAAGACCAAACAAACAAAAAGAAAGTTAAGATGGAGAAAGGAGAAAAAAGAAGGGAAAGGTAGAGATTATAGAGAAAGGTGTGACATTGTTACACTTATCTACAGACGAGTGCAGTGGACATACTTCCTTCTGTGCTGGCACATCCTCCTCCCCTCGCCCTCAGTTTGGTTGCCATGGCGATTTCTTCTCGGCCTCCTCTCACTGCCGTCCCCGGCTCCCTCCTGCTCTCCTCCTTCTCCACCTCCGTCAACTCCTTTGTTCTTATGTCTCCCTGTTTTTCCGGCTCCTCCCGCGCCATCCTCGCCATCTTCGGCACTTTTTCGGTGTGATCTGGGCTTCCTGTGCTCCGACTGCCCGCCTCCTCGACTGCCGCTGCGGGTGTGGTGATGCCGCCTGGAGGGCCTCTCCTCCGAGCCGGGCCCGGGAATCACTGTAGCGTCCAATCGGACGTGAGAGCTGTGGGGGTGGTGCTCGCCTTTACGACTCCGCCTGCTCTCCGTGGATTCGCCCCGATCCAAGGGAGGCCGGGCCGGAGCCGAGCCTCCTCCGCCGCCACCTTGGCCACTGTGTTCGTGGAGGCGCGTTTGTCTGTGGAGCTCGTCAGCGGGATGGTGCTGGCTGAAGCAGAGGTCCGAATTGTTTGCAGTGGTCTTGTTGGTGTTGTTGTTGCGGTTCTCGTGGGGGTCAACCACCAACGGTCGATCAAGGTGGGTCTTCATGTCTGGACGGATCTGACGCGAGTAGTTCACCTGCAAGGAGAGGAAGAGGAAAGGGTAGAGAGGCAGAGATTAAAGATTAAAGTCATTTTAATCCAACATTAACAAATAATGTCCTAGACATACATAACACCAGGCAAGGAACATGTTAACAGAAGTCATCATCATCATTCCCGTCACTTGTGTACACTGATAGCACAAGTCTAGGGGGCTTTGTTGGCCTTGTCCTTTACATTGTTTTGCTCCTCCCTCCCTGTCCTTGCCTTCCAGCGTTCGTCAGGGTCCAGCTCGTTATAGAGGGCCTCGCGGCTGGACACCAGCGTCTGCCTCCTCAGCTCCTTGGTGCGTTGTTCCCACACCGACTTGTTGATCCCCTTGTTGTTCTTCTGCTGGTCCTTACTGCAAAAATGAAGCAGGGTGGACGGGGAGGAAGTGATTGACAGAATTAAAGACGTGTTTAAAGACATGTACTGCTCTGAGAATATAGACACAAAGACATGAGAGTGATGTGAAAACTAACACCAAAATATAAGTATATGAAATAGCCAGGACATAAAAACACACTGGGGGGGGGGGGGGCACAGATATTTAAAGGGTCATTTGGCTGGATTGAACGAGGCAGCTCAACAAAACTAAGTTCTGGGTGTCTACACAGCTTGCCAAAGCACCGGGCAGGGCAGCCCTACTTTGGTAAACCATGTGTGGACACAAAATAGAAGATAACACTGAGGCAAGGTCAGAATATGTTGTAATAATCTACAATTAACCTACACAAACTAAAGTATAAACAGTTTAATCAACCGGTTTTCTGCACCCCAAAATCCCCACCAAGCTAAATTGAATAGATGGCAAAGTCACGATGATCACAAGAACCTGTTATTGGCTCCAGTGACTAAGTGGTGTTTAGATCTACTTGATAGAGAAACACCAGAAAACTGACAGTGACCACCTTCCTTACCCTCCAAAACTTCTGCCAGTAAATAACTTCCTTTTCTGTCAAGACCCAAAGTCAACCACAGTAAAGCAACAGCCGTATTGCGAGGTGAAGGCAACAGAAAATGTACTTTTAAAAATAAGCCAACACAAATAACAACTAAAGAAAGCCAGGTATGTACTCCATAAAAAAAGTTGGGGACAAAGGGGACAAGGAAAGGAGGCACAAAGGAAAGCAGGGGATGGTTTTAAAATCAATAAACAGAAAGGATTCAGAAATGAATAAACAAATAAATAAATACCAGTCCAGAAAGGGGTCGGTAGCGTTGTGACACTCACTGTGTACTTTGTTGCTGAGGAGGGAAACAGCTGGTGAGTGAGATGACACGAAAGAACAGAAGGAGGATTTCATTCCAAAATGGGCTATCCATCTATCATGTATAAAACAGCCAGCTTACTCCAGCTTACTATTCTAATGAAATGAGCTTTAAAAAACTGAATTACAACTAAAATAAGTTCAATATGTTTTCTGAAATATTGAGCATTTTGGAATGCAACCCTTCACACACAAACATACACAGGCAAAACACATGCACACAGACATTCACACACACTCACCTCTGCAGTCTGTGAATCTAGAACAATCCTATTTGTTTTTTTCACTCTCCTCCTTTCTTCAATCTTAAAAAATTGCATTTCTCTTGCATCATTCACTTATGACATGACAACTGCTGTTCTGTCCTGATCATTCTTTCCTTCTTTTACCACATCTATCTAAACTCCCCAGCATTATCTCTGATGTTTCTAGCTTTGTTTTTCCAGTTCATTTCCAGTCACTGCGATGCAATGTACTCATACCGTTAGCCTTTGCTGATGATAATAATCCCTTCAAATGGTTACACAAAGTTAACTAACGGGAACATTGTTACGCTTTGCAAAATAAAATACTATTGTAAATGGAAAAGCTAGTTTAGCATCATTTTAAGACTGTTATCTCAAGCTGTAGTGCATAAACTCCTTCCAGCCTTTTAGACCCAAAACAGTAAAGTGATAACAACTAATTGTTACTGTATTCCTGCAATCTCTTTAGATCGTATGGATGTTTAACGGTGCACTGTGCTGTCATTCTGAGCGTACTTGGTCGAGTTATGTAGCCTTACAACTGTTTTCCGAGAGGTTTTAAGTAGCTTGTGTGGCAGCCTCCTCCTGCATCTACCATAGAATATCTTCTTAAGAGATTCTTCATGCCCCACTGATGTCCCCATGTTCAAAATCCTGCTTGGAAAAACAAGGACTTTCTCCACTGGAATTTCAATGTCTTTCCTTTTTTATATTTCATGAATGAGGGAATTGGATTCACACTGATACAGGGAAATGGAATGCCCTCTGCAGCCCTACATTGCTAGGACTGTGATACACACACGCACACACACACACACACACATATTTTAGCCAAAATCTAATTTAAGACTCTACTATCGACTCTATTCTAGCATCTTAGGGTTTAAAGAACAAAATGATTGAAACAACCTTAGTAAGCTGCAGGATTCTGGTTCAGTAGGCAAATGTTGGTTTTCAAACTAATCCCACACACACACTTCCTCGCTCTTACACACAGACACACACGCATATACATGTGCATTGTATTGACAAGTAGATATTTAACCTCAGTAGGACTCCCAGGTAACGTTTACTGTTAGACACAAATGCTCACAGCACAGTGACGTACAGTACATACAGTAACAAGAAACAGTGTGATTATCGCAATGATGAACACGTTATGAGTATGTTTAACTCCTGGGCATGTCTGCTTATTGTATCTGGGTGTAATAATATGTGTGTGATATAAAGTGGGCAAAGGCTGATGTATCAAAGCCGTAAAGGTCAGAACTGTGTGTACGTGTTGTGCGTGTGGTATTTCTAAGCAGACGTGGGCTCCCCTGTTGTGCTTTTTTCAGGACAGACCACAGAGTGGTGTGTGTGTGTGTGTGTGAGTGTGAGTGTGTGAACTTTACCAGTAGAGAAAGAAAAGACCCCTGTGTATACAGAGAAAAGAGATCAAAGACTCTGACTCTCCTGACCAGAGGAGGGCTGGCCCAGATCAATCCAACACAGGCTTGTGTGTGTGCGTGTGTGTGTGCGTGTGTGTGTGTGTGTGCATGTAGTATGTACAAAAGAGTGAGACAGAGAAAAAGAAAAAAAAAGAAGAAAAGATAGGGAGAACTTGACAGAAAGAGGGCGTAAGAAGGAGGCATGCATGTTTTAGTTTATCACTAAATTTACTGTTGTCAGATTCAAAACTGTTTCCTCATTCCAAAAGGTCTTTGCGTTAGCGCAGTACACTGTGCCTTTCTCCAAAAAAATGCTGAATCTTGCATACGTGCTTGACTTGTAGTTGCTGAATGAGTTGCTTTAAAGGTGTGCAAATGTTATGCCCTAAAGTTCCTGCCTGATGTGAAAGTGTCTTAAAATGGACACAAAAAGGAGAGTGCGACAATAATAGAGACAACAACTCACGCTGCAATGGAAAGGTTGGCAGCAGACAGCGGGCTGACTTCAGCCACCTCCTTGGCTTTCTGCAGGGCGACCTTCTTACTGGCAGCCTCCTCTTCCTCCTGTTCATCCTGCAGACAGATTAGGAAGAAAACCAAAAGCAAGAGATGAATGAGGCGGGTGTGAAGGAAACAGAAATAATTTGTAGAGGAGAGGAGCATAACTCCATTGATTCACAGCGTTCAGAAAATAAATGCTACAGAGATTTTAAATACAATTGGACTGGAGTGTACCTTGGTCAGTTCCTGTGCGTTGGCTAAATTATCCACAGCGATGGCCAAGAACACATTGAGCAGAGTGTCTGATCACAGAGTTAAAGGGAATCCAGCATGTAGGAGTTTGTTTGTGCATGTTTATGCATCATGCAATTATTTGGATTATAGAATGAGCTTTTTTTTAAAGAAAAACTACAGAAAAGTATCAATATCTGTGTAAATACATATGCACCTGAATTTGCATTGATGTGTATTCAGTCTAAAGTCAGTGACTGACCAATCATTTAAAGCATAACTGCTATTGTCTTCATACATATATATGTGTGAATGCTTTGAATGCTTTTTTGCATTTTCACGGTCAAAGGATACAGTTGCCAAAAAGTGTGAGGACAATGAAGAAGATACTGAAGGCCATGCCCTTGTTGACTCCGCCCTGAGACTTGATGCCATCGTACATCACCATGTTCCAGTCCTCGCCAGTCAGGATCTAGCACACACACACGCACAAAAAACACACACATATGAGTAGTCAGACGAGACCATATTCACTCCAAGTACATGTAGTTACTTCATTTTATGATGAGGGTTTGAACACACACACAATATTCAGTCATCTAAAATGTTATAGTCAAAACACACAGTCACCCTCAGATACATACACACCTTTAACACGTAGGCAAGCTTTAGCACAATTAGGTTTTTGACGAATGACATTTAAGAATTCCACATTTTATCTCACGTCCTCGTGTGTAAATCCTCTTTAGTCTTTAAACCGTTTTGTCCTAATCCAACCCCCGTCTTCTCCTACCCTTCTGCTCCCCTCCCTCCACCAGCATCTCCCTCCCTCCCTCCCCTTTACATCGTCTCCTCTGCTCACCTGGAACACTGTCATTATTGCTGCGGGGAAGGTATCGAAGTTGGTTGGAGGAGTGCCATTTTCAAAATTAAACCTAGCAGGGGAAAAAAAAATCAAATGGGTGAGAGAGATGAAAAACAAACGTGTGAGGGCAAAAAAACAGAAGCATCGTACGAGCAGAACTAATGTTTTTTGTTTGATTTTTTTTATCTAAAAAGTACTCCAAAAATGAATTAACAAACTAGCAAATAACAGACACCAATGTCTTAGTAGAATATCAAATGCAAACTATCAAAAAGGAAGGAGAGGAGTAGAGAGAGAGAGAGAAGGCAAGGTGAAAGGAAAACAGCACTGACTGTCCTCCGAAGAGCTGCATGCCCAGCAGGGCAAAGACAACGATGAAGAGGAAGAGCAGGAAGAGCAAGCTGATGATGGACTTCATGGAGTTGAGCAGAGAGACGACGAGGTTACGCAAAGATGCCCAGTACCTGGAAGAAAACAGACAGAAAGTGTGTGTTGTTAATTGAGAGAAACGTTATGGCCATTATCTGAAATACAATTTAAACTATAATACAGTGGACTCACTTGGTGACTTTGAAAATCCTCAATAACCTGAGAGCTCGTAGCACACTGATGCCAAACGATGTGCCCGGCTGGATGATGGACCACAGCACTTCAAATATGCTACCACATATCACCTGACACAAATACAAGCATATGCAAGCATGTGCTTATTCATCATAATGAGCTGTGCAAACAGCAGATCAACACTGTATTTATTGTGTGCACCTGCTCTTGAGTTTGTGCTTATGTGTGCTGATGTGTATATTTGTGTGGGACTCACAATGCAGTCGAAGCAGTTGAAGGAGGAGGTGAGGTAGGCCTGTTTGCCCAGGCCATACATCTTCACCATCATCTCTGTCAAGAATATCCCCAGGAAGATTAATTCAGCAAAATCTACATGGAGGGAAGAAGTGAAGAAGAGAGGAGGAGGAAGAGGAGGAAGCGGAGGAAGAGGAGGAAGGGCAGTGTTTTGTGATAAAAGTATATTTAAGCATACATTTCAAATATAAAACAGTTTTTGTCTTATTGCCTACACCATTTAGGTGAAGTAACCATGGGTATATGATGCTTGTATAAAATATATATATTTTTTATTTCAATGCATCTTCTTGTTTCCACATTTTTATCTATTTTTAATTGGCTTATTTGCATTTTGTTGAAATTTCAATTATATTATTACCATTTGCGTGTGTCTGTTTGTGTAAATATAATGTAGGCCTTTGTACTAAAAAAAAAACGGGAGAATATGCCGGAATATGTGCTCGAGGAAGACATTGTGTGTTTGGATGTGCTGGCGTTAACTGCTTGGGTCAGCTCTTTCACAGATTTAGTCACATTTACTTAAGAATTAGCTCACCCACTCCCTTCCAGTAATCTGTGATGAGAGTGTTTGTGCAGATAATGCCTGCATGTATCCCCCTCCCTCCTACTCACATAGAAAATCTGACAGTGGATCTGGCTGGTCATAGTGCACCACAGCCACACACATAGTGTTCAGGCCCACCAAACACAGCACGCTCCAGTAGAAGGCCTGGGACTTAACAACGTGTCGGATGAGGAAGCGTAGCCGTCGCTCCCGCCGCTTGAAATCTGATCCTTCGAGCTTGGAGCTCTTCAAGCTGGCACGGGCAAACGGTGACCCTGAAAGGATAAACAAGGCAAATGGGTCAATGCTAGCTGAACAGTGAAGTGATTACTGGTTTATTGGCATAATTATGTAGCATTCGTCTCTTGGAAAATCAAAAATGTACACAGTGTACAAATCAATCTGCTTCCCTGATTTGTGACTTAAGCACATGTAAGAGGTACAATAAATTACACGACAAACTCTACTTGAGCACATGCAGTAATTACGACCCAGTGGTTTCATGGTAAGTAGAAGAGTATGGGGAGTAAACAGAGTGAATATCATTTAGGAATAACAGCTTCAACCTGGATTCACCTGATCAGTCTGCTCATGAGGAGAGCAGGCGAGTATAACATCACTTCCAATAAACTCCTCGCAGCTATTGAAGAATTCTCTCCCAAAATAATAACCTTTTTGCTTGTTGGAATATCCCCCTTTATATACTGTATATACGGTTGAGTACAGTTATTATCAAGATGGAGAGATGAGGGGGGGGGGGGTTGCGTAAAGGGGGAAAGGGTAACACGAGAAGAGAAATGCAGAGCAGCAGAGGAGAGGAGAGGAGAGGGAAGGAGAAGGAAGGAGAAGAGGGTCAGGTAATGCTGATATGCAAGATAAGATAGCATCTGTATGTACCTGTGGTTTGCCTTTGAGTGTGTGTGTGTGTGTGTGTGTGTGTGTGTAAGAGAGAGACAGAGGTTATGTATCTTACCTACTGCCAGATCTCCCTCCCCTTCCTCTGGGTTTAGAAGCTCAGCTTTACTCTTATGGTTCTTTGTGGCTCTTCTACGGGAGCCTGTTAATAGAGAAAAACAAAAACAAACGTGTGTTTAATCTATAACACAGCAGTGCTGATATGTTAAATGTATTAATATCGTTTTTACAAATCACGTCACGTATTCACAAACAACAAATCTGCAAATTCATACCATCATATTCATTTTCATTGTCATCATCCGCCAAGATGACCTCTTCTACAAAACACACATGAAAAAAAAACGTTAATATGCCACATTTAATAAATGATTGATGACAACAATATCTATCAATCTTTTGTTGTCTTCAATTACCATTTCTCGTTTTATTTTGAACTGGAAACACAGTGTCTGGCCTGCACCTGTGCTTGCTACTCATCCCTCCCTCTTTTGTATTTTAGCTTCCTTGTTTTTATGTAGATTGTCTTTTTTAAGAAGATCAAAGGTCCGTGCTTTTTATCTGCCCCTTTATCAGCTCCTTCCAACATCCAACCCTCCGCTCCTCTTATCGTCTCTACATCTTACCTGCCCTCAGCAGATGAGGAACAAAAAGAAAAGAGAGATAAAGAGAACTACGGACAGCAGTGGGTCTTCTCTATCCGAGCATCAAACAAGTGTCTTTAATCCTTGCCACAGCAATGCAACTCAAATAAAGTCTTATATTCAACTAGAAAAGGTATAGGCTGTCATTCAAGTGTGTACTACATTGTGAAGAGAGCTAAACCTATATTATAAACGTGCCTGCTAATTTAAGCTTCATTATTTAATTGTTTGATCGTGATAGTTAAGGCGTCAATGTGTTCAAACTACAGTACTGCACTACAAAGCTCAAATGTTATTCTTGCAAATAAAACATAATTAAAATTCTTTATGTTTGCATATGTCTTTGTGTGTGAAAAGTGAACCACACATGCAGTATATTGTACGTACCAGCTTTGCAGATCCACTCCAAGTAACCATTGAGTTCCCTTTCAATCTGCTGCTGTCTTCTGAGCTTCAGGAACTCACTTCTGTTCTCCACACGCTCTCTCTCTTTGGCAAACTCCCTGCAGGGACACACACACACACACACACACACACACACACACGCACGCACACCAAGATACTTTGAATGTAGCTACCTTGCATTTTTAGTGTGACATACATGCAATAAAGTACAAACACATTCTCACACTCACACACACACTTACCCTGACAATACACCCAGCACCAGGTTGAGCATGAAGAAGGAGCCAATGATGATGAGGGGGATGAAGTACATCCAGTTCCATGCACTCCCTGAGGCATCGTTGCTCTGGAAACACACGCACAAACATCAGACAAAGCAATAAATGTTTTGCTCTGGGAAATTGTTCACAACTCATAATGACCCAACATTTGATCGACTGAGACATTTAGACATTCTTTGGCACAGGTAGAAGGGGTACAGCTGCATCAATCAACTGCAGCGGCATATGCTTCGGTCCGTTTGTGCTGAAAGTTAAAGGTTTGTTCGCCGTCTCGGCAGCCGTGCACAAAATAAATTACAAGTGCCATTTATTATGCCTGCTGGTCGAATTAAAGTGCATCAGGGTACTGCACACATGTTATGCATCTTACTTTCAAAGCAATACTGTAATAATAAGAAAAACATCTGAGTGAACAGGTCAGAAAATTGCCTCAAAGTCATCATTAAATGTCCAGACAGCGTAGCTATTAAAACAAATGGAGGTCAGTGCACTCAAAAGTGCTGTCCACCGCTGTTGGAAATATAAACAACAGCAGGGCTGACATGATTTTGCTTTAAGTCATCTCAATAAGTAAATGCATAACTGCCACTCTATTTAGCTGCTCCGTGCAGAGTAAATAATGTATACCAAACGCTTTGGTCCCTCCCTCTCCGTCTCTTCCATCCCGCTGTCCAGACCCCCTCCATTTTCTTTATTCACTCTTTGTTGTTTTCTCCTTCTTTGGGACCCTTTTCTTCTGATTTCCCCTTCTTTCTTTCATACATTTTGATGTTCGTTCATTATTTCCTTCATTCCTACCTCTTTACCTTGCTCCCTTCCATTTTTGGTGCAATATTTCCATCCCTTCTCACCTTACACTGGTTTTTTATTTGAACCTTTCCCACCTCCAGACCCCCTCTTCTTTCCCACTTTGCGCTCTACTTCTCAAAGCCTCCCCTGTCTAACGTCCCCCCTGTCTCCCCCCATCTTCCCTTCTTCCTGCGTGTAAGCCGGTATTGCTGCTGTGTACCCAATGAACCGCAGACCCTTTTTTTCTACCATTAAACTTTTATCGCTCCCCTCCCCGGCAGCTGCAAGAATAACTTGGGCTGAACAGGCCTTTTTAAATATAGAGCAGCAACGGGAAGGTGGGACACAGGGAGAGAGACCACAGAGTGAGAGGGGAAGAGAGGAAGGAAGGGAATGAAGGGAGGAAATAGAGCTAAGAAAAAGAGAAACGAAATGGGAAGAATAAGATAGGTAGAGGAGACGACTACAGTACACTCAGAGACCCTAATCTCCCTCTGCTCTCCTAGCAACCGTTGCCACTGTTTTTCAGATATGGTGTCAGCAGTACATACATAGTAGAGCAGTTCGGTCCAGCCCTCCATGGTGATACACTGGAAGACGGTGAGGATAGCAAACAGGATGTTGTCAAACTGTGTGATGCCGTAGTTTGGTCCCAGCCAGTACTGTCTGCACATGGTGCCCTCCGGACACAGCCGGGACGGAGGCTCCGTCCCACATGGAAACTCTTCTCGGATCTCACCTGAACACGGATGAAAGTGGGGAGGTGTTTCAGAACAATGGGCGGGGCATATGCAAATATATCGATAGTTTTGTGAGAATAGTGAGTACTCTCCATCGGCTCAAAATAGGATAGGTTTTAATTTGACCCTTACTTTCTGGAATTAAATATGTGAAGGAACAACAGGCAACAACAAAAGGTAGATGGGACATAAAATAGTCATGACACAATAAAATAGGCTAACCTGCTAGAATTATATTTGAGATTCATCATTATTGCTCCATAGACCAACAAACAACATGTTTTCAACCGTTTTAATTATTTGAAGATGGAAAGTTATGTTTATTATCCAAACTCCATACAGGGTAAAGGAGCAAAGCATGCAGAAATGGCCAATGAATTAGACTACATCCCTTGAAAGTGCCTTTTCCATCACAATTTAACGCCAAAGACTGTTTTGTTGAGGTAAATTTCTTCTAATTTTTGCACAGTGAGTATTCAAAGTCTGCCTCAACTGGAGCAGGTATTCATTGGGGCAAACAGTTGGAAATGTACAGCTAGCACTATTGGCAAACACACACACACACACGAACACACTCGTTTACCTGTGTGATTGTCGAAGCAGGTTGTGTGGAATTTGCCCATGTAGAACTCCAGGCCGATGATGGCGAACATGAGAATGGCAAAGAAAAGAAGCAGGCCAATCTGCAGCAGAGGAATCATGGCCTTCATGATGGATTTGAGCACCACCTGTAAGCCTGCAGGACACAGTGTTCAGAACATTATTATCCATCACCAATTTCAATGTTGATGTTTTTTCAACAATTAGAATCATTTGCAGGGATCTGAAAGACAGAGAGGTGCCACTTGCTCCCTCCTCCCTCTTTGTATTTAGCAGTTAAACCTGCGATCACACAATACAGTTAGCATATGCTACAAATTTAGTTAAGGTAAAATCAAAACTACACCTGAGTTATTTCTTATACGTTTTCTAATGAACAAAGGGTCTCAAATGCACCATGCTGCAGTAGGTTTAGTTTCATGTGAACTGTTGTGTGGAAACCCATCACACTTATTAAAAGGTATATATATATATATATATATATATATATATATATATATATATATATATACTGTATATATATCACATCACATATTGGAATGGAACTCTAATTTGGTTTTCACAGGAAGCTCGGAGACTCTTGTGATGAGTAAGCCTGGGTTTGCCTGTTCAGCCTTGTAGTGGAGTCCAGGCTATTTATAACACTGCAGTGGTGCTGGAACACTGCTGCCGCTACAACGTTTAAAACAGGAGCGGAGAAGAACCACTTTTGTTGGAATACTTTGGGTGCATTATGCAGAACAACACAGAAGCTGCATAACACCTTGAACACAAGATGATTCTCCGTGCTATTTTGATCCTCCGATAAAATCTGAAAGGTATCTGCACATGAAGAAATGTAATTTCCTCAACTAAGGAATAACAAAGGAGTGGTTTGGGAAATACGTAGGCAGCAGGCAAAGCGAAAAATGTCAAATGAAGAGTTTTGACTTACTGGGAATACCGGACACCAGTTTGAGGGGCCTCAATACACGCACAGCCCTGAGGGTCCGCAAGTCGAAATCTGAACCCACAGTGGACAGGATCCTAAAGGGAGAGAGAATAAAAGCACAAACGTGTGCAAAGACAATCAATATTTAAGCGAGTCAAGCTTGTCACTGTCAGTCAGCCACATACACTTTTAGAAACACACACAGACACACACACACACACACACACACACAAACACACACAAACACACTTCAACACAGCCCCCATGCCAGGTCATTACAAGCTACTGGGTGAGCTCTGTATTTAAATCCTCTAAGAGCTGAGCTGATCAATAGAGCTGACAAGTCGGACAGAGAAGTGTTTCAGGACGAGGGATGGGCTGAAGGGACAGTGTTTTGTAACCGGATGGGACGGCATATATAAAATGAAAAAGGAGAGATGAAGTGATGGGGAGGAGAGGGAAGGTGGAGGGAAAAAGAGGGAGGTTAGAAGAGAGAGACATGGGGAGACAGAGCGAGCGAGAGAGAGAGAGAAAGGCGAAGAGGGAGCGGGAGCACTGGCAGATGGTGAAAATCAGAGATGCTGACTCGCTCATTTCAACCTATTTTTATTCTTGGTGCGTTTAAAATGTTTCTCTTCGAGCCAGCGCCAGACTACAGAGTCAACGTGATGCGATGTTTGTTACAGCTCCTGTATCACCGCTCATCGTCTGGATACAGACTTGTAAACAGCATATGTGTGTGTGTGTGTGTGTGTGTGTGTGTGTGTGTGTGTTCTTCAAATGGTTAAGATGTTCCTTTGTGCCGCCAGACTTCCAGTCAGTTCCCTCGTCTGACGCACACTGAATCATCCTTCTTCCTACTTCTCTCTCCCTCTCTTTCGGTCTCTCTGACACATTTCCACTTTCCTCTGTTTCACTAAGAGGCCCAGTGACACAGCAGAGCCTTAATCACAGGCTTGAAGTCAGCCTGCTTTGCTTGGAAACCTATAAAAATGGCAATTTAGAGGAAAGTATCACCGACCCGGGATCTATAGGTGAATGCTGTATTGAATTACCAGGAAGGCCCCCCTCCCACCTACCACCCCCCAGTGGTAGGTGCTCCATCCCTGTAGGCTGGGGTCCTTGTGATGACATTGTGTGGTATCAAATGCCTCATCAGAGGCTGACTTGTAACTGAGAGGTCCCTGGTTTGGTCACGAGGCTAAACTGTGCTTCAGATGTGTGTGTGTGGTCAATCAGTGATGGCAATCCTGGCCTTTGGCAACTCACATGTACATATGGAAGGTATATAAGAGCCAGTTATTCAAATATGCCAAATATATCTTTGAGATAATCTAGGAACAGTGTCTCCATGACAAAAAAAGTAAAATATAGTGTAGTATATATATATACACAATCAATTATTTAAGTGATTCACATAATGCTATACAAAATACTTTGCCTGTACTGCCATTTTGAGGTTCTTTGAGTTACACATTGTTGTATTTTCAATAAATGTACAGTGCTACTCTTATAACAAAACAATAGTGTTGAGCACTCTGCTTCAAAGGGGAGGTCAGAGTGCGGGCTCAGCTACACCCACAAAGCAGGTAAGGGTTTCGTGTTTTGCTCAAGAGGATGCATCAGCCTCGAAGACGCTTGCAACACAGAACACTGCGCCAATGCAATAGAGCATGGCCATAACAGGGAGAGAGGCAGGAGAAACACGCCGTGTATTGCACAAGGGGAAAGAAAATGCAATGAATAGAAAGGAGTAATGATAGAGTACCAATCTATTTAGACAGGGAGATCTGTGGGGGATGATACTTAATATGATGGTTAGTAAGCCTTGATGTTCAAAATGTGGGGACATACAGTGTTAAGCTTAAAGCATCATTTTACACTATGGAGGTGTATGTGTGGAGGAACAGTTTAATGCTGCTGACAGAGGGGAAGTATCTCACTGTGTGCAGACATGAACACACACACACACACACACACACGTTTTGTGTCGTGTACATCTGTAATCTCCATCACTGTGATTGTATCAAAAACACTGATAACGACGAGGACGACAATGACGATGATGATACGGAATTCAGTTTCCGCCGTCACAAAACGGTGTCAGGCCGACGAGGCAGTTCCCCGTTCACACCGTCTCCACGGTTACCGGGCCCTTTCTCATTCATAAGTGTTTCCATGGCAACAGGGACCTCGGCTCATTGATAGAATCTCTGTATCACCTTGGTAACAGGGCCAATGGAGGAGCCTGATTGATTGTTGTTGTTTTTTTCCCCTGCCTCACAAACACACACACACATGCAGAAATAGACACATCGATGACAAAAGCACACACGGACACACACACACGGACACACATCTGCACGACACACAGGCGCTGGTTGGAGATCAAACGTATTGAGTGAGCATAATGTTATTCACATATGCACACTAGAAAGTAGGTCATTGGGAATAACCAGTGGGAAACTATTTCTTTCTTACCAGGGACATGGACGCTACCTACGCACGGTGCATATTATAAACTTCAACTAAATACACACACAGGAAACACACCTGCACTGTACGCAGAGGAGCAGTCACATTAAGCCATATTGCTATTACACAATCGCCCCACTGATCCGCTCTCATGGGACACCGACACATTGTACAAACACCATCTTTTTTGCCCCGCTCTCTCCGCCTGCTTTCCTGCTGACTTCAGCTAAAATGTGGCCAATTATATCTGTCCACATCAGTGACCAAGTTGCTTCATCTATTCTCCGTCTCTCAATTTTCTTGCCTTCTTTCCTATATTGCAGCGATTCAACTATTTTGTACATATTTAGACTGTCAATATCCTACGATTAATTCTAATCTCATTCCATTTAATATGAAACATCGAAGAAAATGTAAGGTGAAGAAAATGTCACACACACACAGCTTCAAGGTAGAGCCTCAATACTGTGTTGAATTATCTGAATGTGACAGCTGTTTCTCACAATCTCCACAAAACACATTTTAAACTTCAAGAGAGCATGATTTCACAATCCATCTAAAATGACAAAGGACGGTGACGGAGACGTATTTTAGGTAAAAAATAAGTAATTATTCTTACTGACGTTCTTTTAATATGAACATAGATTTATCAAATTTCAGTTTATTACAAAGTCACTGAAATGATCCTCCTGGCTTCCTTTCTTTCTTCCCCTCAGTGGTGTCTAATGAAAAGAACCTGTACCAGGGCACAAGAAGGAGGAACAGAGGGAAGGATGCAAGGCGAGGCTGTAAACTACGGTTAATTGGACTAATAATCAATAGTGGGCATAAAAAACAACTAGCTTATTCCCAGGGCCAAATCACTCAGGCAATTTACTACAACAGATAGGGCAACAACACACACACACACACACACACACACACACATACACACACAAACACACTTGGGCACAGAAACAAGGGTGCACACAAATCCGCTGACATCCAACAAGGTTGGGGATTGAATAGCTAATCTATTCGGACATGCTAAGTGCCATTTGTGTGTTCGTCTTCTTATGTGTCGTGCAAGCAAGTGCACTAGGATTGAGTAGGAAATGGAAAAGAATGTTTGAAGTGGAAATGCGTGTGTGCGTGTGTTTGTGTGTGTGTGTGTGTGTGCATTGGTCAGTGTGTTATCAAAGGTTTTGTCCAGGGGTGGATGGAAAGGCCAAGTAGCCTTTCATCTTCAAAGAGCAGCACTGCTAAAAACACAACCCCCATTCATAAAGAGAGAGCACAACAAAGGATGTGTGTGTGTGTGTGTGTGTGCGCGCGTGTGTGTGTGTGTGTGTGTGTGTGTGTGAGTGTAAAACGTATTGACTTCAGTCAGTGTACATAATGCATCATGAGAATGTACAGTATGTGAGCCGTAAGTGCTGCAGCATTATTCTCTGTACAGCTTGCTGCAGCTTCCTGCTTTGCTGCAAAATGTTAACAGCACAGCTGGTGGACACACAGATGAAGGCCACTGGTTGTGTTGTATGACTGTCGCTTACATTGTTTGCTTTTTCTTTATTTGTCGCTCTTTTTTTTTTTTTACATCTTGCTTCACTTTCTTTCCTCTAAATCTTAACTTGTAAAATAGTGTCTCAAGATATGTTTTCACAAATTAAGACAGATAAGACGGAACATCTCATCTATTGTTCAGAGGAATGTTAGAACGCTTTGAAAATATTGGGAATGCAGCCTAAAGAGAGTCTAAGGAGCATCAACCTACAAAGCAACGTTTAAAACAGGAAGTCATTTGTAGTTACAATTGTAAACATCGGTCGTCATTACAGACGCATGCTTTACTCTCATCTGGACATTAATTATGAGAAAATGTGCTGTTTGCATGCTGGATCAACTTCTCTACCACGACACCAGCAATGCCTGTGCTGGAGATACTGATTATTTAACTGTTGTGTCATGCTTGCTCAGAGGGTTTCACTGTCAAAACAGGGGGGGGGGGGGGGGGGATTATGTGAGACCGGGCATTTACTGGAAGTTTTAAGGACTGCCTCACTTCCTTCTGCTCTACCTCTCTTTCCTCTCTGCCTCTCGCTACTTCCTGCTGTCTCACTGCCACGAGTCTTCACACTCCTCTTCTCTCTTACAGTCACTCTGTTGTGCCACGCTGAGACGAGCTTGGCTTTCACGATTGCTCTTATTAAAGCACGAGGACATACTGCCAGACAGAGTGCTCGCTCACTCACTCACTCAGTGTGTGTGTGTGTGTGTGTGTGTGTGTGTGTGTGTGTGTGTGTGTGAGGGAGAAGTGGGGAGGGGGCGCAATCTCCAGTTTCCCGGGTGCATTGTCAGCAAAGATGCTGACAAGGTTTATGCAACCCAAGAAGCTCTCCAAATCACCACATGCATGCACACAAACATGCGATGACCTCAACATATTAATCTGTGCCAGCACTCCCACACAATCATTTCATTGGACACAGTAGCCGGCACCCCATGACTTGTCTAATGAGTGAGTGGCACAGGAATAACAGTATTACTGCTGTTAAAATGTAGTGATTTACTCGATGCTTTGCTGTTTTAATGAACAGAAACAGTCTAATGTCAAACGTGCAAAGTTGGGAGGAAAAACACATGAAACAAGAGAACCAGGCTTCAGGTGTGCTGTTAAAATCTGAAACAGGCATTAAAAAAACGATTCTTCAGCTATGACATGGCCTGCAATACTTAAATGAGAAAGAAAGTATCTGTAAAGATGTACTGTCATGTGGTCATACGGATGGATGGATCAACAGAAAAACAGAACCATCTGGCAGAGACAAATCAGCGTACCTTGTATAAATCAAATACAAAGCTGTTTGTATGTATGTACACACACTCTCGTTATCCTATCATGTGTCCTAACTCACCCTTGTTGACACCTTTTTTTATTATATTCTTCAGGCTGCATCCCATTTCCCTATACAGAACTTTGCTCATTGAGATAACTATTTAGCTCTTTCCAAAAAAAACATTTTTAGCATGGCACTTGGCGTCTAAAGCACACACCTTTTCAGTGTTGGTCCTTATACATCGTCCCACTGCTGCAGTTGAGAGGTGTCCGAATCACAACTGGAGTCCTCTTTTATGTTGGAGTTATTTTACTGCTTTTTTTGGAGAGGAGAGTGTTCCCTCCCTTGCTGGTTCTCCATCACTTCCTACACTCTTCATTTGTCTCTTTCCAATCGTTTTTCAATGCTTCTCTGTCTTCTCTCTCTTAGCTGCTGACACCGTGTGAATTTTTGTACATCCTGCCTTCATACCTTCTATCCAATGCCTCTTCCCTCTGTGCCCCCCCTCTCCTCTGCCTCTGTGTATATTGTGGTGACATTTGTTCTCTACACAGGCTGCTGGCTGCCTGCAGTTCCGCTCTGTGATCTGACTGCTGCTTTGCCCAGAATGGGGCCATTCATTAGGGCAAAGGAGCAGGGACAGAACACTCACAAACACACACATGTACACACGCACACACATACTGTACACACATGTACACTCACAAACACAAACATGTACACACACACTACAATATGTGATTTGTACAGGGTTCACACTCTTTTCTGGTGATATTTTTGCAGAACGTTTCCAAGACATGTGCAGTGATGATCCAGCAGGTACAACAGACAGTGATTGAGCCATAAGCTAACATGTTCCTGTCTGTGCGAGTTTGACTTGAGAGATGCAGTCAACGGCTGTAACTTATCATTAAAATCACCTCTTGCATGCTTAGAAATGACAAGTCTACTTTAGCAACATGCTAATTAACCATGCATGTGTTGGGGAGCTCTGATAGATAGCCTATTGTTCATTGTTAGCTTAAGGAAAATGATTTTCCAGGACATTTGACTTTTTCTCTCAATTTTTGTGTTTTCAATGACTGGAAAATTGGCCCACTGTTTTCCAGGTTTTCTATGCGCGTGGTGCACTGTTGAAATAGGTGCGTGTTCTGCTCGTCACTTGCTTGCCACTCACCCTGTGAGCACCACCACAAAGTCCATGACGTTCCATCCGTTCCTCAGGTAGGAGTTCTTGTGGAAGGCGAAACCAAGTGCCAGGATCTTTATTCCAGACTCAAAACAGAAGATCCCTATGAAGTACGGCTCTGTGTCATCCTGAGCGAGAGAGAGAGAGAGAGAGAGAGAGAGAGAGAGAGAGAGAGAGAGATAGATGTAGACAGACAGACAGACAGACATTGCAATAGCATAAATACACAGATCTGACACCAGAGAAACTTGCTTCTGACACCATGGAAAAGTGCTACCATGGACAGTGTCACAAAATCAAAATAACTTATTTTAGTATTTAGAACATCTGGATCAAAACATCTCGTTTTAACTGCCACTTTCAGTAGAGTAGGCGCATGCATCTCCACTGAAGTAAAATCTATGAGGAGTCAGAACTGTCACCTGGATTTAATCGTGCTTACATGTGGCTAACATGCTGCGTCATGCCCGCTTAACTTACCAGGCGCTCGGACAGCGGCGTCTTGTCCCCATCAGGCAAATGTTGTTCCAGAGCCAAGACGATGCAGTTGGCAATGATGGTGGCTAGAATCATCCACTCAAATGGAGTGAGGAAGGTCAGTCAAGGAACAAACACTTTTGAAAATATGAATCCAAACAGTTTCTATGCCAATATTACTAGTTTTAAAAAAGACAGCTTGACATGATCAGTGGTTTTTGTACATAGTCATGGCATGATGTGCCTCATCCTCATAACTTTCCAACAAAACATTGAGTCACTTTAGTTTTGTCAATCTGACATGGAATTTCATTAATTAAAAAAAGCAGTAAAATACCACAAAAATCAAATTGAAATATGTATTACAATAATGGAAACTTAAATCCTTCACAACATGTGCCATGGTGGCGAAGGACGTAAGGTCAAATGTATACCATGTGAATACAAAGAAGGTAAGCGATTCAGACAGACAGCAGGCCTGTAGCTCAAATGTACCAATGGCCTCTCAGTGCTATAGCCGCCTGTGTATATTACACACACACACACACACAAACACACGTCATCATTGTGAGTCAGTTAAATATGCTAAGTCTATGTTTTGGTCAGACACCACCCACACAGGCAAACAAATACACACACACACACACACACACACACACACACA